TGATCGTTCACATTTAAGCTTCAGGAACTTCTTGAAACGTCATGATCATATCATATATTAATCTAAACACTTCAGATTAAAAGTTGCGCTGGTGTCGAATGTTTGGCACATTGAATGATTTGAAAGCTCCTCAAACTAAAATAAAAAATTACATTATAAAATTATTAAAATCGATTAAAAATAAACGCCAAAGATTTATCATTCTCTAGCAAGTTTTTCTTTTCTTGCTCGTTCCAGAGATTGCTCTAAGATTTCCTCTCGATTAAACTTATAAAAAAGCAATGCCGTCTCGTCACCTTCAAAATCCTTTAAGTTAATTTTAAACAAAGCGTCATCTCTTTTTCGATCACGCTGTTAGCGGTCTTTATTCCATGTAATAAAGTACGATCTCACGGGCATGATCCATCTTTTCAAGAACCTTCCGAAAGTTATCGTCCCCTTGGGATTATATCTTGTCCAATCCATCCAAATGCTCTAGGTACTTGGTGTGCAAATCGGCATCTTTCTTGCTCATTTGACGTCCAATAGGACGCAATGCAAACGATTCTGCACTCATGGCTTTCTCATCATCATCGACTGCTGACGGCATACCATCATCAGTATCAGTGCAAGAAACAGTGTCTATTTGTATGGAACTGGTGCAGGATTTTTGGAACATTTGTACCTCTTTTTTAATGAAAAAAAGACAAGCCGATTAAATAGTTTAAGCCATCAAACAACAAAGAGAATGATGTCCTACACAAAAATAAGTTTTGTTGTATGATATCTAATCATCGTTCAAATGGGTATCGCGTTGTAGTGAACAGATTCTTTAAATTCAATATTAAAGTAGTTTTTGGAGGCCGTAGTACCATCAAATTCTAATAGATGATCATCTGAAATCACAAAAGGGGTTAGACCAGAGCGGTAAGAGCACTGTAGCAGTTACACTTACAAAAAACTCTTACCTTTAAGAGCACTAAAAAGGTTATGTGTACCTGAATAGATTTTTTTGTTTTCTCTGTACAATTTCTTCCTTGTCAAAGTAGCTTGCATTGTTTATTTTATTGAAGGAAAAATGAATGATTGTTTCTACATCAATTTTCAATTTTGGAAAACGTGAAGGTAAGACAAACAAAACGTGCAGGACCATGCTCGAGGGAAAAACCTTAATTTTTAATTCCCGCTGCTAAGTGCTCTAAAAGTAAAACAGGTTGTTTTTATATGATATGAACATATCATAAATAATGTAGACTTTCGATCGTAAATGCACTCTTTAATAACGAGGAAATTAGTGCTGGCGCCAACTTTATTCAGGAAAAAAAAGCAAAAAAATGGAAAAAAAAAGGTTCAGAGTTAAAAATAGAATTATCATATCATAAAAAACATCTTTTTTCCCCTTTTAGATTTTTTTATTATTTTCTGCCAAAATATTTCATCTTCTTTGTGAATGCGACCAGTGAAAAAACCTCAAGAGGTCGAGCTCTACATCACCAGCTACAATTACCATTTCCAAAGACAAATGCGTTTCAATGCATCGATGTCTGGTAGTAACAACAGTAAGATTTGTCCTTACTTTCTTCAGGCGGAAACCAAAAAAAAATATAAATAGCCTAAATAAAACGTCGAAGATCGAATGAGATTGAAAAGGACATTCCCAATGTTGAGGTAATGCCGTTAAACAAGGCTCATGCACATTGTTAAAAAAAAACTTTCATCGCAAACTAATTTTACAAGCAGATATCATGAATGACATATGCAGCAGTAATGTCGAAGAATATGAAGAAAATATCGAAAAAGCTGATGTAAGCAGGGTAGTTGATGGGGACGCTGACAATGACGATGATGACGAAGAAGAAGACGAAGAAGAGGAAGCTTGTGCCAAAGGGAATATCAAAACAATCGTCGTGAAGAATTTTAATCCTAAACAAACTGAGACAGAAATCAAAGCAGACATGTATGGATTATTTCCTGGCAGATTTAAGATTAAGGAAGGCCTCACCCATTTAGCAGCTGATGTCGTTCTTCAGTTTTTGAATATCTCATCGAAGAAAGCCAATAATGGCAGTCAACCTACTTCGCCAAAGTCGTTCAAAATAGTTGAGAAAAAGTTTAATGGTGATTGGGGTTCTGGTGTTACCAGATATAGGGTTTGCGGAAAATGTGATTCAATCTGTGCTCCTGAAGTAAGAAAGGTATGATAATTAAGTTTCTTAAAATCAACGTCTAATAATAATGATGCAAGATAAAACACCCTTTCAACAATCATGTTCTTATGTCACCCTGGATCGTGATGTTTGTGATGAAGTTTTGTTTGAGCAGGTGAAGAAACGTAATGGCAACAGCATCTACAAGCCCAAATTTGTTTACCCCTACAAGTCTCTTAAAAGTTCGTTGCAAGAGTTGATGCTTCGCCCCGAATTCGAATCTACAATGAATGATTGAAGATTTAGAGATGTTGTTCCAGGAATCTATTACGACATATATGATGGTAGAATGTTCAAGACATTCATGGATAACACTGGTCTTCCATTTTCAACACTGCGAAATCCGTTGTATGCAACGTTGAATGTCGACTGGTTCCAACCTTTTGATAATGTAAATTATTCTTGTGGTGCTATTTACATGATAATCAATAATTGGAAAAGAGAAGACTGCTTTAAGAAAGAAAACATCATTCTGGTAGGGTTTATGCCTGTTGAAAAGAGCCAAAACTGGACCGAATCAACACGTACTTGAAACCCTTGGTTGATGAGCTTTTAGAATTGGAAAGAGGAGTGATGATGAAAACGGCCGCAAAACCTGAGGCAATTAAAATCAGTTGTGCTTTGTTGATGTTGGCATGCGATATCCCTACCTGCCCGAAAGTATCCGGTTTTGCAGCTCATTCCAGCGGCCATGCGTGTAACAAGTGTGAAGGTCAATTCCTCTTGGTTGAACGTAGACATGATTTTTCCGGAATCAACACTGTTGCCAGTAAATTGCCTGAACGATCGAAGGCAAGCAACTTGTGAGCGGCGTTGAGTTGACGCAATCCCACTACTGAAAAAAAATGAGAGGACCTCGTGAAGGCAAATGGAACAACGTATTCCGATCTGCACCTATTGGGGTACTTTAATATTGTTAGACAAAGCATTGATCCCATGCACAATGTTCTTCTGGGGACATGGTCAAGATTTGTGAAGATTTCGAAGGAATAAGGGTACTTCACCAAAGTCAATTTGAAGAAAATGCAAGTTCTTGCCAACTCGGTGGAATTACCTGCTGGCTTTGAAAGTGTTGGTCAAAAGATTGCAAGTGGTTTTACTAAATTTAAAGCTGACAACTCGAAAATTGGCGCCTGATGTATTCCACTTTTGTTTTGACAGGTAAACCTTATTGGTCATAAAACCGTCTTCTTTATTAACTTTTTAATGCACAGGTATTCTGACCAAAGAAAACATGAGAAACTGGATGGATTTTGTAAATGCATGCAAATATATTTTGAAACCTGCATCAAACAATCCGAGGTTGATAAAGGCCACGAGCTCTTTTTGGAATTCCACAGAGTATCGGAAGGTTTATACGGCAACAAATGTCTCGCAATGTATCAACATCTTCATGGGCATCTTAAGCAGACCATTGAGGATTTTTCAGCACCAGATGTATACTCGCTATTCTCTTTCGAACGTAGCAATGGATGTCTGGGATAATTTAAGAACAACGGAAAACATGTTGAAGTTGCATTCATGAAAACGTTTTTGGAAAAATATAATCTTAAACATAATACCATCCGAGCATACAACAAGGCCATGTAATAACGATCACGATCATCACCATTCTTCCAACTTCAAAAAGACATGCAAACGTTCTTGCATGAGAGGATTATGGTTAGTAGACGGCCCAGTGACCGGGTAAAAGGCCAAATTGAAGAAGGGTTTGTCGCAACTGAATTTGCCGAATCTTTTGTCAATTTAGACATTAATGTCACCGGGTCTGAGCCTCTTCCTTTGGATGTTATTCCAATGAAAGTTTTAACAAAAACAGTGATGGAGAAAAGCCATTATGAAAGTCTATTAGACTTTTATGATGCCACATATCCAGGAGATACGGCACTTGGTCTGCGGAATTCTGATTTAGTCGCGCCCCTTTTGGAGCCAGATGGACAACAGCGTCAGTGTATATAGAGAAGTTTGCATCAATTTGGTTAAGTGGAAAAACAATTATCAGTGCAGAAAACAAGATCACCTTCTGGCAGCTGTATAAAAAGTTTGTTTGTCGGTCAAAACCACGAGAGAGTTGAAGCTTGGCCTGGTAGAGTGCTCTACCTTTTTAGACATAGCCAAATGGTTTATCTGCGTAACGAGGTTCAGGAAAAGGATCATGTTTTTGCTTTTGTTAAATTTTTCAAGCCTTTGAATAATTTGTTCTACAGTAAAAAGTATAAGGATCAAGTATTGGAGGTCTGGCAATCTTCGTATAGTGACCTGTGTAGAGATTCTGTGGTTCCGATTTCACGGATTTATTCTCCAATCGCTTTGGCTAAGAAGCATTCAAGGGATACAGTAGATGACCATAATAACCGTATTGTCATTATACCTTTACAAAGAAATGTATTTGACTAGTCTTAAAGGTAATTAAGAAAGAAATAAGTATCAGTGTCTTGGGTTTAAGTATTAAACATTATTACTTTGAATTAGAAATAGAAAAAAAAATTGTTTATTACATATAAATCATATATATAGTCTTTTTCGTCTGAGCTCCACATATCTTTGGATTCACATCTTTCATGGCTGGGAATATACCCATTGTCCGTCATTGGCGTAGTTTGATTGACTGCATCATAGTCAGGCCGAACCATCCACCGATCTACATCAGCAGGTGCTGCCAAATTATGGTAATAGACGGATCTCTTTCTGCTCCGCTCATTGACCTTTCGTCCGTGCTTATCAAGAACTTTTAAGATATTCGTAGCATGTAAAGAAAAAAGGTAATGAAGTTTATTATAGGAATTATTTCAACTCGAATAATTAATATCTTTATTACTTATTGCTACGATACGTAGGTTTTTTGGCATACAACGACATCTTGTTATTACTGTCAAACATACCCAATTTATTGGAATCATTATCGGTCTCCTCTTCAGACATGTATTTCAACACAATGAACCGGTTCACTTGGTCCAAAGTCACAATGTTATTTTCGAATTTAGCCTTGACGGAAGGCAGATTCAATGCAAGTTTTCAACTTTTCAATTTCTAAATTATAAGGTAAGTTCATGATACGGATCATTTTTTATCTCAAACTAACGTATTCCTTTCTTTTATAAAGCTTTTGATTCACCTTCTTCTCTTCGGCTTTCCTGGCTTCCTCTCGTTTTTCCTCTTCTGTCAAAACGGGGTTAGCTTTCCCACTGTTTTTCCACTCGCGACGCATACTGTTAAATCAAGTTTTTATTTTCATCTCAATTTCATCCTTCAGATCAATCATGGTAGCTTGTCGTTGATATCAATCATTTTCCCCGTGATTTCAGTATACTTGGACAAAATACGTGCACCAACTATATCGGCGATATTAGGATTATTTCCTTTACAAAATTGGCTTTTGACATTAAACTGGTCCTGGTCCTTTAACTTCCTTATTTGGTTTGGAATAGCAGTCTAACAAAAGGTCAAAGTTTGCTCATCATCATATATTTGATTTTACTTACTGTCAGACTAGGATTGGTATCCTTCTTTTTCTTTTCTATCTCGCCGAACTTTTCCACCAAAGTTTCAGTATTAACGGCGCCACCAGTGCCAGTATATACATTTATTGCAACATCTTCAGAATCACCAAAGTCGGTTATCTCGTCCAACGTTTAATTGACAACCATGTCGCGTGGGCGCAATTTGCTGATTGCAGCGGTCTAGTGCTTAAACCAATCTTCAAGTTCTTTTAGTTGGTTTCCCATCAATTGGATATGATTTTCTGCCACTGATCAGAAGTTATTGTAAAAACCGTCTCGAAGCCTTTCTTCCATGGGATTGAAACAACGTTCGAGAAGAGCTGCCATTTGGTTTCTAAATTTTTCTTCAATTTCCATCTTCTGTTGTTCAAATTTCTGATCAAGTTGAGTTGCAGCTCTATTCATTTCGGCTCGGATGGCTTCCTGAATCAAATTAACAAGTGAAATGTTGTCTACCTCCTCACGCGTTTTTTTTTGTGTTGCTTTTTCATATTTTTGATAGTAAGGTAAGTGAAACACGATAGTATTACTGTTTAGTACTGTTTATAGTTAAGAACATCCACGATGGTCACACGTCAAATTTAAAATAATGTTTTTGGCATCGAGCAACGACAAAAATGTTTTGTTTGTCTTACCCCCATAGGACCGGCAAATCTTTAATAAATTGAATAAATCATTCCTTCTCCCTTCTTCAAGGAAATAAACATTATTAACTATCATGACAACGACGAGTAGAAAACAATAACTTTTTTATTGTTCTTTTTGACAGATTCGAATGTTTCTATCAACTGCTGAAGTTGATTCAAATTACTGATTGAACCTTGATTAAACCTTATTTGACCGTCAATTGAATGTCCCTTTTTTTTCTGATGAAATAGGATTTATTTTATTTCTCTTTTATTTTCCTCTTATTTCTCATTTATTTTCCATATTGTTGTGTTTAGAAGTAAGCAAAAATTATAAGGCAGTTTATGAATGATAGGAGACTGTTTATAAGATTGTCTTTATTATGAAATAAAATGAACAAGTATTTATAAAAAAAAGACTATCTGCTGTACCACTATCTTTAGTGTATCTTTGAAGTTGTTATCATTTTTCCAGTGTGTATCCTGTCACCTTTAACTGCTTATTTTGTAAATATGTTACACTTGGAATTACTGTTATCTTAGACACATTGTACTTCCTTATCTTTAGTAAGCCTTAGTCACTGTGTTATTGTAGCTTTGTGATATATTAGTACTAACTATCTATATTGGGTAATTGATTCCTTAATCATTCTTAATGTATTGATGTCATACATATGGATTTATTTAATGTAGCAACAATATAGCAGATCACCACACCTATTACATTTTTTTTTAAAAAAAAACAATTGCTATCAGACTTGCAAGGTAACTATTAAATCACTGTTCTTTTATTCATTCTAATCATATCATTTTATTATAGATTATAAGGTTGATCTACCATACATCTGTGGATCGAAACGCGACCTAATATTTTACAAATAACTTTTTTACCGTTCTGTCAATCGAAATGTACGGGGTTATGATTACAATTGCCACGTTTACACAACTCATTGTTTTATTTTCAGAGTCAAATTAGAGTTTGTAGAGGAGATGTAATACATGTCTTACATGGTATGTGATATAAACGGTTGACTATTTGATTTCTATCAAACCCCCCTTAATTCTAGGAACGGCTGTCGAAAATATCAAGTGAATAATTATGGCTTAAACGCGTACGATGTTCTGCCACTTTTTTTTCAAATGTCTTTTACAAACATGTTATTCACTTTTGGCCGTTCCGACAGGTAATGGGGGGGGGAGTTTGCGTCAAACAATCCTAAAATAAAGATAAGATTCTGTTACATTATAAATTGATAGACCCAAAATCATATTTAATCGAGAATTACATTCCTAGATACAATCATTTATTCTATGGCTTTTATATTACATTTTTTTATACGTACCTAATTTACTTACTGTCGGTACATTCAATTCTCAGCGAACTGATATTTGATCCTTTTTTTGTGGTTGTCCTATTTATCATCTACTGTATCTATTCTTATCTCGAAGTGATCTAATCATTAATTTAAAAGCAGCAAAGCTAATTCCCAATGCCTCACAGACTACTGACGTAAGACTAACAATAAACGCATTAGATGGGTTTCATGTCCAATCAGATGGCCTTAGCATATCGTCATATGTCTTTGTTTAAAGTCAATATTAAAGTTTAAAGTTGTCTTTTCCATGAACAAATCCCATAAATTTGAAAACACAACTTCAAAAATACTTGCAAAAATTAGAGTATCTCTTCGTTTTCTTTGTGAAAACGGCTTGTCTTTCATGGCATTTACTGTGATTATTCTTAGGATAAAAGCCCTGATTCTTACACTGTATCAGCATGGACTCGTGGAGCTGAAGAGGTAGCCTCTTTACTATTCAAGGCCTTTTGCCTCTTTGCTTTAATTTTGCGAGCTCTGCGTTTCAACTCACTTTTCTACTTGGGGAATATCAATGAGTTCCTAAAAGCACGGGAAGTATAGGAATAGAACTTCATTCTTTCGCTCCAAATGCTTGAAGTAATTACCCATCTATTTATAAAAATATTTGCTCTAGATTCTAATATTTTAGGACAAATCTAAACAAAATTCTTACCTCGTCACAGGCAACTTTAACACTTGCATCACGTCGTTTGATTGCAGCGATAACAACAAAAAACTTGCTGACCAAAGTAGAAACAACTCTCCAGTGGCCTTTCAAACCTTTTCCGTTCTCCCTTGACAGGCCTGGTTGCTGGAAGCCTTAAAGTTGGAGAGGATACACTTCTAAAAAAACAGATGATTTTGCTGAATTTCGATCCATGGGTCTTTCCCAGATGGCCAGCCTTCACTTAAACATTTATACGTCTAGAGCAGTTGTCCAGCCGTGATTTTGCTTAGGCGCAGTAGCAATAGCTTCGCTTTGATCCTCGAAATCACTCTCATCGCTGTCGTTGTCACAGGAGTTGCTCATAACGCTGGTGTTGTCATCGTCATTGACCAACTGTTTACCGTCAAAATTGAGGCCGTCATGAATCAATTCCAAGTCAGGTTGGTCTTTGTCAGAGTGGGACATACTGTTCATTTCCTTGAAAGAGGAAAAGAGTAAATTTTTTTATTGTGAAAGATGGATTTTTTTTTGACTCTGAAAGATTCATCCTTTAGCGAAATTTTAAAGTTTTTATTTAAAATTTGGGTTTATTAAAGCAACCTTAAGCCCACCGAGGCAGGTGAAAAACTAATATTTTGGGCTTACGGAACCGAAAAATCGATTTTAAGCGCAGCTGCTGGGGATGATCTTACAGCCGCTCCTTGCTCATTCAATGGAAAGTCCATATTTTTTTCACTCAATGTTTTAGGTACTGTGTTGAGTCTGACTTACAACGCCTTCAAATTTACTTAATGCTAATCGATATTACTCTCACTCGATGATTTACGTACTGTGATGGTCGGGACCTACAGCCCTTCACGGCTCACTCAATTCTAATCCATATTTTTTCACTTTATGTTTTATGTACTGTAATGGTAGTGATTTACAGTCCCTCCTAAGGTACTCAATGTTTATTATTCCCATGTATGTATGTTGCTTTGACCTGCGCTTTGCTCGGACGCGCAAAAAAAAACACCGTAATACTAAGTGTGGTTTATACTGCAAAGTCAAAACAATCATTATAATATTGATAACAGCATCAACAGTAGTGACCGCGGTAGATTGGTACAAACGCTCCAAATATGTGATGAAATGAAGCACTTTTCGTTTAGAAAAATAAATAAATGCCGATTAAGACCACCAATAAAAATCACTTTTAACTGCTAATTTTTCTTTATATATAATAGGTTGACTTTCGATGTTTCAGATTTTTTTTATAAATATTCAAAACTTTGATCGCTTTAAGATTGGTGGCACGATACAGAAAGCTATTTTATTTATTTTAGATTAAGAAACAATTAATCGTATTAAATCATAGGTCTTTTTTTTTTGGCATTCTGGTTTTGTAAGTTAAAATGCCGGCTTGATAAGCTTAAGCATTGATTTGTTGACTGGCCTCAAAATCTAAGTACGGCGATACAATATTGGATACACCGGATCCCGTCTGATCTCCGCAGTTAAGCAATATCTGGGCCAGTCAGTACTATGGTGGGGGACCACTTGGGAATACTGGTTGCTGTAATTTTTTTTCCTTTTTTTTTTTTTATACTTTTTGTCTGTATGTCCGTCGCTTTTAATTAGTTTAGAAGACTCCCAATATCAAAATCTTGTCCCGAACCTGGGTCTGCAGATGAGCCGAAGTTGAAAAACTGACGCATGCTGTATCAAACAATTCCTTCTTATACCAGTAACCAAAAGTCCAGAGATTCTCAATGATCTTTCCGACTTCCTGAAGTTAACTCAGATGAAAAACTTTCCAACTATTTTACGTATTAAGCTACACTCTGCCTTTTCTTTCTTCTATTCACTAGGTGGAATGAATGTTGATGTGAGCATTAATGCCAGGATGGAATTGTTTAACATGAAGTCACAGTGCACGAAACAGGGCTTCTATATTAAAAATAATCACTGTAAATACTGTTGCGGGGATAATAACTTTGATAGTAAATGTAACTGGATTCCTGAATTTAAATTGAAATGATCTTATAACTGTAACAAAAGATGCAAAAGTTTTAATATAAGGAGGAGATAATTAGGCTCCTTGTTGCATCTCTTGTTACGGCTTTTATACAAAATCAATGGTGTAACACCCAAGAAAAAACTAAACCCTGATCCCCATGACAATACCATGAAATACAAGTCGATTTTCCAAAAAAAAAAACCAAGAGATACTTTACTTATTTCACGTACTTTTAAAATTGTCTTTTCAAATTTTTGGGACTTGTTCATGGAAAATAGAACTTTACATTTTAATATTGACTTTAAACAAACGTATATGACGATTTTATAAGGCCATCCGATTAGACATGAAACCCATCTATTGAGTTTATTGTTAGTCTTACATCAGTAGTCTATGACCCATTGGGATTAAGCTTTGCTGATTATAAATTAATGATTGGATCACTTCGAGATAAACATAGACAGATGATGAATAGGATACAAAAAAAAGGATCAAGTATCAGCTCCTTAAAAATTCAATGTACCGACAGTGGGCAAATTAGGTATGTATAAAAAAATGTAATATAAAAGCCATAGAATAAATGATTGTATCTACGAATGTAATTCTCGATTAAATAAGATTTTGGGTCTATCAATTTATAATGTAACAGAATCTTATCTTTATTTTAGGATTGTTTGACGCAAACTCTCCCCCCCCAATTACCTGTCGGAACGGCCAAAAGTGAATAACATGTTTGTAAAAGACATTTGAAAAAAAAGTGGCAGAACATCGTACGCGTTTAAGCCATAATTATTCACTTGATATTTTCGACAGCCGTTCCTAGAATTAAGGGGGGTTTGATAGAAATCAAATAGTCAACCGTTTATATCACATACCATGTAAGACATGTATTACATCTCCTCTACAAACTCTAATTTGACTCTGAAAATAAAACAATGAGTTGTGTAAACGTGGCAATTGTAATCATAACCCCGTACATTTCGATTGACAGAACGGTAAAAAAGTTATTTGTAAAATATTAGGTCGCGTTTCGATCCACAGATGTATGGTAGATCAACCTTATAATCTATAATAAAATGATATGATTAGAATGAATAAAAGAACAGTGATTTAATAGTTACCTTGCAAGTCTGATAGCAATTGTTTTTTTTAAAAAAAAAATGTAATAGGTGTGGTGATCTGCTATATTGTTGCTACATTAAATAAATCCATATGTATGACATCAATACATTAAGAATGATTAAGGAATCAATTACCCAATATAGATAGTTAGTACTAATATATCACAAAGCTACAATAACACAGTGACTAAGGCTTACTAAAGATAAGGAAGTACAATGTGTCTAAGATAACAGTAATTCCAAGTGTAACATATTTACAAAATAAGCAGTTAAAGGTAACAGGATACACACTGGAAAAATGATAACAACTTCAAAGATACACTAAAGATAGTGGTACAGCAGATAGTCTTTTTTTTATAAATACTTGTTCATTTTATTTCATAATAAAGACAATCTTATAAACAGTCTCCTATCATTCATAAACTGCCTTATAATTTTTGCTTACTTCTAAACACAACAATAGGGAAAATAAATGAGAAATAAGAGGAAAATAAAAGAGAAATAAAATAAATCCTATTTCATCAGAAAAAAAAGGGACATTCAATTGACGGTCAAATAAGGTTTAATCAAGGTTCAATCAGTAATTTGAATCAACTTCAGCAGTTGATAGAAACATTCGAATCTGTCAAAAAGAACAATAAAAAAGTTATTGTTTTCTACTCGTCGTTGTCATGATAGTTAATAATGTTTATTTCCTTGAAGAAGGGAGAAGGAATGATTTATTCAATTTATTAAAGATTTGCCGGTCCTATGGGGGTAAGACAAACAAAACATTTTTGTCGTTGCTCGATGCCAAAAACATTATTTTAAATTTGACGTGTGACCATCGTGGATGTTCTTAACTATAAACAGTACTAAACAGTAATACTATCGTGTTTCACTTACCTTACTATCAAAAATATGAAAAAGCAACACAAAAAAAAACGCGTGAGGAGGTAGACAACATTTCACTTGTTAATTTGATTCAGGAAGCCATCCGAGCCGAAATGAATAGAGCTGCAACTCAACTTGATCAAAAATTTGAACAACAGAAGATGGAAATTGAAGAAAAATTTAGAAACCAAATGGCAGCTCTTCTCGAACGTTGTTTCAATCCCATGGAAGAAAGGCTTCGAGACGGTTTTTACAATAACTTCTGATCAGTGGCAGAAAATCATATCCAATTGATGGGAAACCAACTAAAAGAACTTGAAGATTGGTTTAAGCACTAGACCGCTGCAATCAGCAAATTGCGCCCACGCGACATGGTTGTCAATTAAACGTTGGACGAGATAACCGACTTTGGTGATTCTGAAGATGTTGCAATAAATGTATATACTGGCACTGGTGGCGCCGTTAATACTGAAACTTTGGTGGAAAAGTTCGGCGAGATAGAAAAGAAAAAGAAGGATACCAATCCTAGTCTGACAGTAAGTAAAATCAAATATATGATGATGAGCAAACTTTGACCTTTTGTTAGACTGCTATTCCAAACCAAATAAGGAAGTTAAAGGACCAGGACCAGTTTAATGTCAAAAGCCAATTTTGTAAAGGAAATAATCCTAATATCGCCGATATAGTTGGTGCACGTATTTTGTCCAAGTATACTGAAATCACGGGGAAAATGATTGATATCAACGACAAGCTACCATGATTGATCTGAAGGATGAAATTGAGATGAAAATAAAAACTTGATTTAACAGTATGCGTCGCGAGTGGAAAAACAGTGGGAAAGCTAACCCCGTTTTGACAGAAGAGGAAAAACGAGAGGAAGCCAGGAAAGCCGAAGAGAAGAAGGTGAATCAAAAGCTTTATAAAAGAAAGGAATACGTTAGTTTGAGATAAAAAATGATCCGTATCATGAACTTACCTTATAATTTAGAAATTGAAAAGTTGAAAACTTGCATTGAATCTGCCTTCCGTCAAGGCTAAATTCGAAAATAACATTGTGACTTTGGACCAAGTGAACCGGTTCATTGTGTTGAAATACATGTCTGAAGAGGAGACCGATAATGATTCCAATAAATTGGGTATGTTTGACAGTAATAACAAGATGTCGTTGTATGCCAAAAAACCTACGTATCGTAGCAATAAGTAATAAAGATATTAATTATTCGAGTTGAAATAATTCCTATAATAAACTTCATTACCTTTTTTCTTTACATGCTACGAATATCTTAAAAGTTCTTGATAAGCACGGACGAAAGGTCAATGAGCGGAGCAGAAAGAGATCCGTCTATTACCATAATTTGGCAGCACCTGCTGATGTAGATCGGTGGATGGTTCGGCCTGACTATGATGCAGTCAATCAAACTACGCCAATGACGGACAATGGGTATATTCCCAGCCATGAAAGATGTGAATCC